ACATTGCATTTGCAATGGGTTCAGATTCGCCAGTTTTAATCCAGTCAGACAAATTCTTCATGTATCTTGGCCCCTGTTTGAGAGCCGCAATATCTTCCCTATGATTTGCGAAAATTTGCCAAGTCTGAGGAAGGTCCTGAATATCTTGAACAAAAGGTTTTAAGCATGGGTTTTGGCAAAGGAAAGAGTGTAGTCGGTCGAGGTAAACCTTCTGTGGAGCTTTGCTTTGAGGGCAGAATATAGCCACAGATGGCATCTCGTCAGTTGTCGAACGCATGACGTACAAGATATATCGTGTTGAAACTAAGAATTCTAGTAAAGACTAAATAAAGGTGTCAGTGGACCGGAATTCTGTTTGCTTTAACCCATTCATACATGGTCGGTCATATAGCTTCTAGTTTGGAAGCTATTATTGCTCGCTACCTGATGTATCCATTAATCGAAGACCTTCCCTCATTGTTTCATTCTGACAGCCACGTTTTTCAATGAAACTGATCTTTATTCCGATCATCTAACACTGAGTAATCTCCACTGGTCACCTCTTTCTCCACCTTTAGAATATAGATGATTATATTATGACGCCAAAGTTGCATTTTTCGATTCTTATCAGCTTGCACGAGCTTCTCAATTCGAGGTTCTCCTCCTTGAGCTACTCACTCTCGGATGATGATAACTATATTATGAAAATTGAACACAATACATCTTATATCTCGACCAGACTTTGATTTTCCTATTGGATCGGACCTATCTGTTGCTACCTTCGGATCGCCATGACCATCCTCTATGTATGGAGCAAGTATTGCGATTGGGTTAGATTCTTTTGATGTTCAACAAAGACACTGGATATGTTATATTCCGTAATTTACACCAAGGAAACGATCCGAGTTTGAATTAGCCAGGAAGTCTAGATTTTGAAGTCTGGTTCGTGCTAATAAACGCGTTTAGCTAAAATGGAAGAATTAGATCAAAATATCATCCCGATCTAATGAAGTAGATCCGATCATCTACTTCAGGCTAGAATAAACCCGGCAGAGCATTTTCTCAATTGTTTGTTCAACTCCAGTGTGTATTTGAGATTCCTCTTCGAGAACTCCACTTAACTTGGGCCTAGATGCTCTGATAAGTTGTATCTAGGGCTTAGCGGCAAGACTTACTGCCGGAATCACATGTTTCCGTGAATTGAAGGGTACATCAAGGCTTATCTCGATTTCTCCCTGGCAGACTTTAAACATTACCAATTATCAAATTCCAATTAGCGCATGTAGCATGAAATGTTTGAGGCTCCCATGGTTGCAAATTTAAGAGATTGTGATGTCTTGGATAGTCGTCTGAGCTCCGTCTACATTTTATTGTAGACATCGTGGAACATTGATTGGTGCGGTAATCTGTTACTACTCAACCGGCTCGAAGTACTTCCGGTGTTTTCCGGCTGCCGGGAAAATCTATCGTTGATAGCTATGCCCAACATCCCCATAGCTATGAGTATGAGCAAAGTGGTGTAGGATTTCGTCCCCTTTACCGATGTAATAAAATCAAGACACGTCAGGTTTTCAGCAGCTCCACCTTCTTCAATGTAGAATTTGCCATGTGCGCCTAAAAAATCTTACATCGGGAAATCAACATGCGCAATCAGATCAACACACAAGATTCAAGTTCACTATTCATGTGTTTCTCTGCAGCCCTGTGGAAGCTATGGCAGATCATGTTCAGCATGGATCTTCAGACGTCCCGAAGCCGTAAAAAACGAACTTTGGATGAGAACATGGCATTTAATTGAGGTCAATTGCTACCGCAATCTTTGTTAGCTTGACGCTTGTCTCTATTTCTATCATGAACTGTTGCACTGAGTATATGTCTCAATCTTGATTGCAAATACTCTGACTCAATATTAAAGTTACGCGAAGACGTAACTCAGAAGTTGGTTCTAAACACAATACACATACAACTGTTCGGAGAGTCAAAGTCTCATACCTCAGGTTGATACTTGGGTTTGGTGCATTTCAGTAAAATATTTAAAACATGTGACGATGTAACATCTGGCACGAGAATCTGATTTTAAAACCCTTTGGAAGGCTTAAGATATAGTAGAGATGAGATTTCTCATTCATTTACATGACAAATGAAGTGATAGAGGGCCTAAATATGTGGATTTCTCCTAGAGAGCTTCAAAGCCAACATCAAGTATGATCTTGAATTTCGAACAGCGAGTGGTGCGTATCCTCAATAACAAAGATCCAACTGACTATTTTGCAGTGATATGAATGAGCGCAAGCCTCCAAAACACCTCTTCTCTTCAGGCTCAGGATTTTCAGGACTAAGTTGTAACTATCAACAAAAATGATCATCTAAATCGAAACATCAAGAAGCAAACTCGAAAGGTAAGAGATACAAAATGAGCAACAGTTGCGCCAGTAAAGTCAGCGACTACTTCGACTAGGATACAAATTTCAGTTCCCCCATCTACAAATCAAACAGCATTAGTGAAAGCAATATCACTATCTCCGCTGCTCGCATTTAGATTCTCAATCCTAGATTTCTCCTCACTTATCTGAGCCTGCTCAATTTGAGCTTTCAATCTCGGAAACAATTCCAATGCAGTTTTTCTCAAAGCAGCCTTTCCTTCATCTCCATTCTTTTGTATCCAATTCTCCACGAATTCCGATTCTTTTATCATGGTACTTTCGATTGGGAACGGGAAATCACTGCCGTAAGTAGTTCTTTCAGGCCCCAACCATTTCTCAATATATCCCACAGGACCACTATAACTGTTCGCTGCTAAGTCAGTATAAAAGCTTCTCGCTTCCCTCATGAATTGCTCCGGTTTTTGAACACTTCGACAAGCATCGAAAGTCAGATTTGCAACAGAAGAACTAATATAAGGAAGGGCACCTCCTGCGTGCGAAAGAATGATTTTGACTTTTGGATATGAAGACAAAGTATTGGCGTAGATGAGAGAACAAGCTGTGCGTGTCATCTCATGTGTAAAGTCGACAATAGGAGGGATTAACGAATTATTGTTGAATGATTGTGGAGATAGCGAATTAGCAATGGGATGTATGAATACCACCGCGCTGATCCTGTTTAATTCTTCCCAAACGGGCTGAAATATCTCGTGTCCAAGATATTTCCCATCATAGCTAGTCAAAAGTGTGAAACCTTCTGGATTGAGCTTTTCATAACAAAACTTGATGCTAGCGAGTACTTCTGGTAATGAAGTTACAGTTATGATTGGAATAGTGGCAAAGAAGCCGAACTTGGTGGGATATTGAAGACGTAAATTATGGGCGTAAATATTGATGTCCTGGCAAAGGGATGAATCACCAATAGCGGTATGGGCAAACGATAGGATGGAGGTCGAGATAGAATTTCTTGCCATAAAATCAAGAGAGATTTGTGGAGACCATGTTGGAAATATCAAATCACTGGGTTCTTTGGAATTTTCTTTGATATCTGGTAAAGTTGTCAGAATTTTATAGCAGATTGATGCCGAGAAATACTCAATAGGAGAACCTCGGGAAGATCAGTGAAGGCTAAATGGAATGTACTTACGGTCTAGATAGACAGGTGGAATCATATGGTGATGAGTATCTATTTTCTCTATTTTTCTTGCTGGCCGAGTATCTGGTAAAACGCAAGCAATTTGCGATCGTGGTGTAATGTGCCGAAGTCGAAATTGTTTAGCATGATAACATAGGAAAGAGCTGACGTCTTCTCTATTGACTTCAAGTTTGATTAGTAAGTCTTGTTGTATTAATTGGAAAGAGACATACTGTAGAAAACTATGCATGTAGTTGTGAAAATAACTGCAACAATTATGATGCATATTGAGATTACAGATAACGTTGGCATAATGCATTCATTTCAGTCTCAGCTGTCTATTGAATTGAGGTGCATACGCGGCATCAATTCAGTTTGGATTTGAGACGATTGTGGATGCTAGTTTGCATGCTCAGGTAACTCACGCTGCAGGTAGAAATCTGGATGTAGGTATAATGATGAGGTTGTGTAATGATATCATCAGGATGGCCCATGATCTGTCATATATGATAACTAGCTGTTTTCCTTTTTCTTTTTTGCTTTCTGGATTGTCTAACTTCTTGATACTGAAAATAAACCCCAAGAGCTCCAATTACATAACATTAATCCCATACCAATACCGAATATAGGAGGTTGATTCTGAAGTTATTCTCAACTTTGAACGACAATTACTTAAGTGGTGGTGGTTCATTTCTCCTATCTCGACTTTCTCCTGTGAATTGGACGCTAGACCTCAATTTTCGACAACGAGACATTGAAAAGTTAATCTTAACACATTGTATTGTGGATTCACCTCGAACATCAAGACAGAAGACAAGTCCATAAATAGAATGCCCAAGCTTGCGAGACAATTCTTGAAGGTTGAAACAATTTCCATAGATCTCGTATACGAAAGCAGCTTCCTTCCTCACACGTTTGCGTCATGTTAAGGTCTCGATCCTCAGATTCAGCAATCAAATGGCGCACCAGAATTGACACCGTGTAATTGAGTAACCCTGTGTAACTTAACGACATTCAGATGCACTATCAGAGACTACTACAAGTCCTTCAGCAAAGTCACTTCTATAACGGTGATTTGAAGACCAAACCCGAATTAGAAGGAGCATAAATTTTGGTAAGGCAAAGAATACGGCATGTAGCCATGTTAGTCCCATCTAGCACAAAATCAGCTTGAGCTACCTTCTTTACTCATTTGGTTGAACATTGTGGGAGGTTACATCTCTTGGTGTTCGCGGTTTTACTTGGCAACTAGAGTCTCACATTATGTTAAGACATGATTCTCCGCTCTTGACAATATTTGTCTCCACTGTCTTGGGATAGGCTTCATAGTCCGAGTGATGATCTTGAACATATCTGGATGACATTGGATCTAGATGATAGTCTTGCAGGCTGCTATCTCTTTCTTGCAGATATTGCTTCCAAAATTCCTTTTGTAGTTGATAATCTGGTTTTTTGATTCATTCATGATCATGGGGTCGATCAGCTTTTTCCCGAATCGTGAAGAAATAATAGTACTCGCAGTATTCCTGTTTATTTTTGTAAGCATCCCACTACAATTGGATCGACGTCAATGAGAATAACATATACCAGTATTATTTAGTCTTTGCAATCTACAATCTTTACTTCTCACCATTATCCAAGTTTCCAGGTCCAAAACGTCTGGCGATCTCAAGATTACCCCTGATACGATACGTAATTCTTGGAACCACTTACAAATATCTGGATGAACTACATGAAAAATATGGACCAGTGGTTCGAATTGCTCCAGATGAACTTACTACTATTTCTCCTGAGGCCTGGAAAGATGTGTACACCAGAAGACCGCAAATGGCAAAAGATCCATTCAGCATGACACCTCCTATGAATGGCGCGGAGTCATTATTCACAGCCACTGGTGATACTCATGTTCGTATTCGACGAAATTTTGCCAATGCTTTTTCTGACAAAGCACTTCGAGAGCAAAGCAAGATCATCGAGGGATACATAGCGCTGTTACTTCAGAGATTGAGACGTGAAACAATGAAAAGTCCTAATGGGGAAGTTGATCTAGCAAAATTCTTTGGATATCTATCACTGGACATATATGCTGATCTCATGTTCGGAGAATCTTTTCATGGTCTTGAAGGAGATAATGAGCATTCGTGGATTTTGGGATTCTTTTTGGGTGCCAAATTTGGATCCGTAAGAAACAGTATTCAAAGATTTCATCCACTCGAAGTCATATTTGGTTGGTTGTTCCTCCGATTGACTGCAAAGATGAGAGCACAAAATTGGAAATTGGCAACGGATAGAATTACCAATCGATTAGAGATGGGAGATCTGGGAGCCGAAAGATCTGATTTCGTTAGCCCTATCATTGGGAATGTCAATGAATCGGAAGGTGGAAAAGGTATAACGAGGAAGGAGTTGAATACCAATGGTCTTGCTATTGTGATAGCAGGATGTCAGTTGCCCACTGTTGCGTTGGCTACGGCTTGTTATTTCTTGATGAGATATCCACGAACAATGAGGAGATTGACTGAAGAAGTAAAGTCATATTACTCGGAAGAAAAGAGTATCAATGTTCAATCGACATCAGAATTGCCTTATTTGGAAGCAGTCATAAATGAGACATTGAGAATTCATCACCCGACACCAATTCACCTACCTAGGAATGTTCCCCCTGAAGGTGCAGCTGTCGCAGGTCAATGGGTACCAGGTGGAGTAAGCTAGGTCATCGACCACTTTTGCTTCGATAGTGACTGACATTAACATAGAGTGTAATCGGCATAGCAATGCAGACAGCTCAAACTTCGCCCTTGAATTTCTTTGAACCGAAAGTATTTCACCCAGAACGTTTTCTTCCAAAGCACCACCCTTTATATGATGATCGATTTGAAAGGGATCAAAAAGAAGCGTTCAAGCCCTTTTCAGCGGGTCCAAGAAACTGTATGGGAGGAAAGTATGTCCATTCAGCCTTTTCGACATTCACAACCAATGCTAAGACGTCCATAACAGAACATTCCTGGCCCAAGCCCGAGTAACACTAGCTAGAATGATATGGAATTTCGAGATGGAGTTGGTAGATAAGAATGACTGGAACTGGACTGATCAGCGAGCGTACCTTGTATTTGAACCAAAAGCTTTACATGTGAAGTTGAAGGAGAGGGAGGTCTGAGGCGGGGGATGAGGGTATTCAACATACCGGCAGCGGGAAGTGTAGGGAGCAGTTGTTAATGCATGCCCAGTTACATATCAAATTTACATCCACTGTGATTGACGTATCGGAGAATGGTCTTCAAAGAGCTCAGAAGTAACGACGGGAAGTAATTGTTACGCGTCGTGTGCGTGGTCAATCGCGTCGCGGATCCAAAGAACGATGTAGTAAAAAGTGTCAATTCTTTTAAGAATTAGCAACATTTCACCTCAGTGATCTTGGATTCGAGCAAAGTATCGTTTAGGATTTTATGTAGTCGATGAAGTTACCTGGGCATGATCGTTAACAGAAGCCATACTCGCGTCGCATATGCTGTAAATTAGCGCCTAAGCGCCATTATCGGCAAACCTCATTTCATGATCACAAAGTGCGACCTCAGGGGGTACTATTATAGATCAAACACTATTCAACGGAATTCTCGAACATGGTCGTAGTATGCTTATTGATTTCCCTAAATTTACCCCTTTGAAAAGTCCTAAACTCTACGTCTTCTCAGTCAGTGCCAGATGTTGCCTTCAAGGAGCTCCGACGATAAGGTAGTCTTTAATATAAATACCGGTAGTCGGAATCTGAAGGGATCATAAGTACTGGAGTTTTTCGTTTATACGACGCGATCCTTTCCGCGGAAAGAACTACTTCAACTCCAGGTTTACAGCTTTCAGGATGCCATTCCTCGATCCACTGTTCAATATCATTCTTCAAATCTCTCATCTTAACCTCTAGCTCCGGGTATGCCTTTCCAAAATTGGTGTATGCGATAGGCCAATGAACCTTTATTGTGTCTAAATTATCGAACGTTCTCAAGACGTATGTATAGTCTTTAGTTTCGCACTCAACGTGTTTAATTGATGAGAAATCAAGATCGATGTCCGAACGCCAACAAGACCTGAGAATTGACCAATCTAATACACACAGCGTGTCGATGTCTGGATTGAAGTACATGTAATGCTTTTGGGGTCTGAATGGGCAATCTCCTTCGAATAGGAGCCTGTAATTAGAGAGAGCAACAGCTCGACTTGTACGATTGACTCTTAAAAGAGTCCAAAATTCTGGCAGATGCTGACGCGGCTGAAAATTGGTAACTTCTTGATCTAATACCAACCGTCTAGGAGTTTCATCAACGACTTTGCCAAATATGGTCATTTGAACTTCACGTGGAAGCGTGTTGAAATTTGTAGGTCCTGGTTGGCGAGGCGGTGGTCGCGGAAGGTATTTTTTTGTAAGAATTCTTGTTGAACGTCGTGTTTGAAATGAGGTCGAAGGTTTTGACGACCTCTTCGCCATGTTTTTGAGTTCGAAAGAATGGTCAATTCCTAATGTTTTTATCAGAGATACAATCTTTGGATAAAAATAATCCTAATCCGTCCTAGTTGTGATGGGATTGCGGTCGCCTTGATTATACTGCAGGTTTGAGCGTATTTTCGCCAGATGTCTTGATATCGTTGAGAACAATAAGACGTGAAATTTCCAGTTAATTTCTTTCAAGTGAAAGCGTCAAGAAATATTTGCCTTCATTACACGGGAGATGACTATGTAGTTCATCATTCTTTGTTATAGCCGATATCGATATGACCTGGCATACAATAAAGCAATAACGTCTTAATAAAGGACCGGTATTATATAATTTCTACTCAAAACAATTTCAGATATATAGTAACCGCGCACAGCTGTTCGTCGGTTTCAAAAATCACACCAAAAATAGTCATTTTGCTCTATTTATATAAATAAAAATAAAATATTCAAAACCATTAAAATTGATCAGAATTTTAAATATAGTTTTATTATATAATGAAATACTTAGAATTTATAATTCTTTTGATTTTAAAATATAGGAATATTATTATTTATAAGATTGAATCTAAATCAAAAGTAAAGTTCTTGATTTTCGCTTATTTTACTAGTAAATTTCAATATTTTCAAATTATACTAACTTTCTATATAGATTTTATAATAAATAAAAATCGTAAAAAAAAACTATCTAATTTTTATTAAATTTCAATCGAAAATGAATAGAATTATATAAAATACATTAAATAAAATCTATACTATTATTGAAAAATATATAGATAATTTATATGAGTTTTGGTGTGATTTCGGTGTTTGGCAAACAGCTGTGCCCTAGTACTATACGAACAACAACTCGTTTAACTAAGATATTTATATTATATAATAGTTGCCTTTTATCCTCAAATTGCGCAAATTTTTATAAAAATTTTCCAAAACGAAGTAGTACCTCTACAAGCCATTAATCGTACTCTTTTAATAGATAATACTTATAATAAATTCTCGAATATACTTAATTTAATAATATATTTTCAAAACCTTAAATTTCAGTACTTCGTTAAAAACACCTAAATGTTAGATTTTCTAATTTCAATCTATAATATCTTTAACAATTATAATTCAATTCAATTGAAAACTTAATCAAATGATAGATAATAATAAATTATATCATTAATATAATTTTTGATTATTTTAAATTAGTATTAATCGAATTAAAAATTTCGAAACGAAAGTTTGAAAATAATCAAAAGTAGTTTAGAAACATATTAATTTTCAACCTCAAAATCGAATTTATATTCTACCTACCTTTAATTCTATAATCATTTCTTTAATATATTTATAAAACTATATATTGATTCTTTTAATTGAAATATTAATTATTCTAAAAAGTTTATTCAGTTTGAAGATATATTAATAAATCTAAAAGTGATTAAAATTAAATTTCAAAATTGATGAGGTATAAAAAATCGCTTATTTTTTTGAAAACACTTCATTAAATTAGATGTATTTGTTTCATTACACCTTTGGCATTCTGTTCGCTAATCATTTATATTAGGAGATGTAGCACGAGGTGTGAATCCGAGGTTATTTCCAGACCGCAATCATTGTATTTCATCCAATTCACAAGTAGACACACCGATGATATTTTAACATCGGTGAATGATTCGAATACTAAAATATTTCCTTGCGCTATCATATAATGATCCTTCTTTGCTGAGATTTTTCTTCCTATTTTAAATTCAACAACTTCCAGGCAGCCACAAAGTGACCATAATTCAACTAATCTCTACATCGACGCCCCAAATACCAAACATCACAATGGCATCCAACCTAGATCTTAAAGTTTCTGTCCAACTTAATGGTTACCCCTTATTCAGATCGCCCCAAATAGCCCTCAGCTCTACTAGAGCCCGCGCTATACAAAGTATAATCGACAAATGCGCTCAAGACGTCGAATATCAACTCACACGGGCCGGCGCAGATGAAAGGAGAGACGCGGAGCAAGATAGGAGATTTCAAGAAAATTTGAGGGCTAATACGGCTAACCACAATCCATCTTGGGATGCTCAGCTTTGACTGGCCGAACAGTGACCGTAATTCCTATACGAGTCTAGAGGTAGTAATACGTTGTACTCATGGGTATGGAGCTTGCCGTTTGGCTGTAGAATCTTTGATGGAAGGATCAATATATAGGTAGAAGATTAATCTATGCAAGGTTTACAACTTAAATTCGGCTAATCCATTGTTTCCATGATGTGAAGCTTTGGTAATACTAATGCGTTTCAACAATAGCCCATGCTAAGTAAAATATCCAGCATTGATAGGAAATCACATATAGTCATAATATAAATAGATATCTTTCAGTTGGATTGTATGTCTTGACGTGGTATAAAAAACTTGCGAATCGAAGCTCTCCGTCTTTCTCTATATTAAAAAAACACAAAATATGATGAGGGTATAACTAAGACAGAATATTAGCAGGAAGAACTTGGAAATGCCGAGAAATGCCGAGATAACTTACACCACGATCAATAACATTCCGTTGAGCCAATTGGATGTCCCATTCGTAACTGCGTATTTGATTATGAGACTGCTGAGCGCGATGACTGTTGTGCAGTATAAATCACAAAGCAGGGTCAACGTTTTGCCCATGGACCAAGACAGTACAACCAGCAAAGGGCCTACAAAATGGCCAATTGTCACCGTAAACCCCAAGGTCAAGTCTAATGTATGATCCATATCATCTTTAACTGACGACTTGAAAGCTTCGACGTGTTTAGAAAAGCGAAGAAGGAGTGGTATGCAAACAAAAGCCAAAGCACGTTTGTTTTGGGGATCAAAACCTTGTAATGATGCCACAATAATACGACTTTGCATTGCCAATAAAACAATGAAAATGATTGCCACGAGTGTGTTATTGAAACGAGAAATTGCAACATTAGGACGACTATGCTCATCATCGTATCCATCCCGAAAGTCATCATTGAAGATATAGGTGTGAGTATAATGTCGAAAGACAAGCCATATTACAAATAGAACAAGGGACACGATAGCAATGGCTCGGGATAAGAATATGATGTCTGCTTCTAATCGTGGGGAGGAAGTATCTTGCGTCTCTGCGAAAAAGAAAACAATCGTCGAGAATACCGATGCTATTACGGCTAGTGTGGAGGTTAGACCAATACTTGTGTCGTTAAATCGTTGTTCTATGCCCATCGACGTCCCAGCCCTAATGTTATGAATACCGCCAGCAACAAAGCAAATGCCGGGTAACTACAAAATAGTCAGGAGATCAGTATGTGTATGAACAAAAATGATAGGATTTCTTACGAGCAGCTGATTACAGATAACAGTACCAGCAAGAAAATATTTGATGAGTTCAGTGTCCCCTCGGTTAATTGTTATAATACCGATCTTTGGCTTAAACTTAGTACACATGGATACAAGAAGTGTATGGGGGCTTACACAGGCTTCAGCAGCACAGCTACCGGCTCTCGAGATTAGCGTCTGGTTAGTGGAGTCTTGTAGCACAGGATGGAGATCTTTGAGGGCAGCTTCCAGACTCCCTATAATAGGTACTGCTGCCAACAAAGAAATGGCCAGTAAAATGCTATTTTGCTCTTTATCTCTTGAGAGAAATAGGGTTATTGGTAGAAATATCAGCAGGATATCGAGATAGCTTCGGAAAAAAACAATCCTAGCGGCATTGAAGATTTGAATTATCACTCGAATCCAGAGTTTCTTCATGGAGGCTCCCACAGAGGAATGAAGTCCTGGGCATTCAGATTCGTACCAAACATCGCCGAATTTGATGGGAGCATCTTTCAGCCGATCTAGCAAAGGTCGGTGCATAAAACGTACTAGATCAAAATTATATGTCAGTCCTCCATAACCAGAATTCCTAGATCCAAGTGGTATCCGAGCTTCTTGCAAAAGACTGAATTTCGGAGCTTGAAAAGTCAACGATGGAATTTTTGGGTTCACCGTCGATTCAAAAAATACATCGACACCATCTCTAAGTTGGAGAGATTCCCATCCCAGAGGTAACGCAGATATAGGGGCCTTTAATTTTGAGGTTTTGGAGAGGATCCCCACTATTGCGTTGATTTGAAGCAGTTGCCATTGTTTTAGGTGACTCTTCTTTGCCTCAAGAGCGAGTTCGAGTGGCGTTTTTCCAGCCCTATCACGTAACATAAGAGGAATTGCGGCGCACTGAACAAAGTGTTCAACCGCAGGATAACAACAAGCAATCACTGCTTCATGCAGTATTGTACTTGTATTATAATCATCAACTTCATCTTCTGTTTGATCAGGGGATTCTCCCTTGAGAAAAAATCGGCGCATCGCCATAGTGGTCGGGTTCTGATCAGGTTTCGGGCTCAAGGTTACCTGGGAGAATTGCATGACCTTAGCGCATGCACTGATTATATAACTATAATTCGTGTGGATTGACTCCGATTCTTCCACCAAGCTTTCTAGAAATTGACGGAAATGAGGGCCAACATAACACCCTTTCTCAACAAAGAGGTGGAAAAGATCCAGTCTATATGACAACGAAATTTCTCTTTTACATGTCCACAGCCAAAGACGGGATGAATAGACTTCTGAGTTGGCTATCTCTCTCAATTCCCGCTCACCGACCTCCCCCCTACACAGCCATGCAAGGGCAGAAAAATCATTTCTGATAGAAGATCCTAACCAGCTTGAATAGTGACGTATTCCAAGTCTGGGGTTAACCGCTGTAGGTTTTGTAAAGCATAAAAGTCGCGCTAATGTATTGAAATTCCCAGAACTTGTGGTCCAGCTTTGCCAACAGCAGTCCTTGAATCTACTACGCAGTCGAGCGAGCGCGTAAAGTTTATGGAAATCTTCTAAACCATAATTTCTAGTATCCCACCATCCAGACATATGCTCAAGTTCTGAGGATAGCTCTGCAAAAGAGTAGCAACTTGCTCCTGCATGATCCAATTGTGAAATGTCTCCTAAGCTCCAATTGAGTGAAAGCTTGGATGAGGCGACGGCGTACAAATTTTCGAAAGCTTTCTGGCGTGACGGCTTTTCGATTGAAGATGGAAGTCTCAGTCTGATATAGGTGTAAATCGATAGAATTGGACCTGGCAAATCCGAGAAGAAACGTGTCTCCCACAGCCGACGTGATGTTCTGAGACTCAAATCAGAGACTATATCACGATTGTGCCTAACATTTCTGTAAAATATTTCGTATGTCTCACTTCTAACTTCATCTCGCATTGGATTTTCCTGGAAAGATCGAATCCTTGAATAATATATCGTGTCGAAAAACTTCCAGGGACGGGAGTCTCGGTATTTAGGTATCGGCTGCAGCGCTGCCCTAACAACCCGGAGCATCCGCCACATGTCGTTCGATGTAGGTATTTTCCCGACATCCGTTGCTTTTTTGATGGCTTTGGCTGCATCTTTGTATGCCAGATCATATGGAGGTAGATACTGGGTTATCTTTTCTCCGTCAACCAAGTGTCTGCGATTCGGTTTGCGCTTCTTACTTCCGTTATCGTAATCGCCTCGTTCATTGTCATTTTGAAACATGCGCCACAAAATAAGTCCATAGACATAGATATCGCAACGCTTCAAGTTTTCAAAATCAAAGGTCTTGAAGGAACCTTTCTCGGGGTATGCTTCTGGAGGAATCCAGCCTGGGGTTCCTGCGTATGCAAAATGCTCGGATGCTTTTGTCTTTGGGGAGTACATCTGCGATGCATCAAGACTATCAATGACGGTTGATCTTTGCCATGATTTTGACTCGGCATTGCCAAAGTCGCACAACTTTGCTGTCCAGGCCACTTCTGATTGTATCAATGAGTCATCAGCAAACAACAGAACATTTTCGGGCTTCATGTCTCCGTGAGTGACATTGCCAGCGTGTAGAGCTCCCAGTCCAGTTCCTATATCGCTACAAATCTTACTGAGACTTTCGAATGATATCTTAGCATAGTTTGAGCTCGCCAAGAAGTCGGCGAGATCACAGGTGGCCTTCTCCATTACAAGCAGAGGTATTCGCGTATTAAGTCGGATACCCCACTTTCTGGCCACCCCCCTTTTGGGCCACTTTTTACACCAAAAATGGAAATTTTAACTCTCTCATTTATGGATAGAATTTCATGAAAATTTGTATATATATAATTTAGATCGATTTAAGCTTATTCTGAAATTTTCAGATTTTTAGGATTTTTCTATATTGAGATCTAAAGCTTCAAAATATCGATTTTTAAATTTGTATAGGAATCACATACAAATTTGAAACTTTTATAAAATCTTTAATAACTTTCGAATAAAAATTGCTAAAAATATATTGTAAAATTTCACTATCATTTTATAATATATTTCATATAATAGATTCAGAAAAAATAAAAAAATTCTCATAAATAAATATTTAAAGGGGTACCCTCAAAATGACAGGGATTATTTATACTACTCTAAACTCACTGTATACTATATCTTTATATCTGTTAATTTTTTTGAATTTTTTTTTGAATTTCTATATAGATTCAAGCTCAAATATCTCAGAAATATATATAGTTTTCTTTTAATAATTATTGTTAAAAAGTTATTAAAGGTTTTATAAAAATTCTAAATTTGTATGTGATTCCCATACAAATTTGAAAATCGATATTTTGAAGCTCTAGTTCTCAATACAGAAAAATCCTAAAAATCTAAAAATTTCAGAATAAGCTTAAATCGATCTAAATTATATATATACAAATTTTCATTGAATTATATTATATATTGATAGAGATATTAATAGGCCTAAAAAGTGATTTTTGATGTAAAAGGGTGGCCCAAAACCCTGTTGGCCCGAAAGTAGGGTAACCGACTTAAGAGTCGTGTTAGCTTCAAAGGTATCCAAGCAGAGTCCCCATCCCCACAATCGAACTATGTTAGGGTGCTCTCTATATGATTTATTGCAAAGCTTGTCAATTTCTTTTTTAGCCGACCGGAGCTGGCTCTCTAGTTCTCTCGCCATATCCTGTTTTGAAAGATTTTCACCATGAGCTTCAGAAAGAAATCGACGATTGGTCAGATCTGGAGTCCATAGTGCTCGCTTTACAACAGAGTTGGCCAGTGTATCTAGCGTATCCCAAAGAATGGCTTTTTCTTGAGAGAGCTCTACATTATCGAGCTTCCGAGCACGCTTGAGCTTTGATCGAAATTCTTTTGATGCACCTGTTACCCTGAATTGAGTCCCTTTTCCAAGTTCCAAGCTAAATTCGCTATTAAGGCGAAGTAATTGTGGACCTTGAATATCGTTCTGCAAAATTATTTCCAAGACTTCCTTCATAGCCTCGAGAGCATCAACTGATTCACCAGAACCTTTGAAATTGCTATATTTGGAAATTGTATGTTGTTCGTCCCACGAAGAGGGGTCGTCAGTATTCGAAATCGGCATGTTGATGGTACTAGAGCTCTCGGCCATATCATCAATCTCCCAACTCAGGTCAGCATTATTGGATGTTGAACCCGATGTTGAATTTCTCTCAGCAGCCACCTGGGGCATCTGCTCAAATTTCACGATTTGTGGGTGATATTATTTTGATGCACATGCACTCATATGTATCCGTGTTATTGTCAAGCGTGTTGGCCCGCGGGAAATATGGTAGGCAAGCGACCGATCGTGTTTCAACAGCTTGTTGAGAAATGCAGTACGAAAGACGATCGCGAATTATATAGCACATTCACCAGTTCGAAACTCATTATCAGCCTTGCTTATGAAGCTTTACAGATGACTGGGATTATCTCAAGATGGGTCTACAATGTAACCCCAATGCGGGGCTCATTAACACTGGTGCCACATTTCTCTCCAGACTCCATACTTTTCGCATCACGAACTTAAAATTATCATACTGAATGGTCCAGCATGTTATTTGTGTTTTGGTCGCGAAATATCTTGACTGGCAATTATGGATCCGTTCAGCATAACAGTCGGGGCTGTGGGACTCATAACAGTCTTCAAAGAAGTCTATCTCCTCTCGCGATGTATCTATCGAGCCTGTGAATCAGCAAGAGCGAGCGATGAGGAGCGTGAGAAGTTGAGACATGATTTACGATATGATTTGCTTCGCATACGATCATTTGGGCGACATTACTTGAAGAACAAAGATGTGCTTGGTGCCCATGGGCTTGATAATGTAAGATAAGAAAGAAACTCCTCATGTTGATCAATATTAATATCCCGCAGCATTGGGCTTCGATGATCTACGATATACTAGAGGAACTCCGAAAGTCTCTGGATGATTATAGAAAGTTAGACGATCCATATTACCTGCAATATTCGCCATACGTTAACGACAGCATGTATGGTACCCCCACTATTGAATTTCCTCTGGACGACCAAAACGATCCGATTCCGCCAGTAAAATTACCAGCCAAGAAGCTATCATTCAACTCTTTCTTCAATCGAACAAGGGAAACCACTAAGTTGGCAGTAAAATCAGCAAAATGGGCACTTTACGACAAGAAGCGACTCGAGTCCACGATCAGTAATTTTCGGCGGGAGACAGAAAAGTTGACGGGTCTCTTACCTCTCGCTCAATCTGCACAGGTCTCCAGGATTGATAACAAGATCGATGCACTTACAGCCACAATCAACGACCGTGATGCTCAAATTTTGGGACTGGTTCCCCACGCGAAACTTATGGAATTTAACGAACAAAATGAGGATGATTACACAGATGAAAACGAAATGAAGCAATGCAAAGTCAAGACTACTTCAGATGACAACGAACTGAGTGCAGGAACTATCGAGTTGAACCACGAAGGAGGTAATACTGCTGAACAAGAGTCGGTTCTGATTGAGCTCAAATATTACCCACCCTTGGAGGAGAATTGCAATGCCACGCCAAATAATCCTGATTCTGATACCAAAACAAATGTTCGACGACTGGCCGGGCTCCTGAGTATATCGTCCTCAGGATCGGAACTGCGAACTCTCCCTTTCAAATTTTACGTTCATGAGCCAGATCAAGAGCGATATGCCTTTGTGTTTGGCTACCCCTTGCATGCTCTCCAATCTCAGCCAATATCTCTTCACGAACTCATCAAATCATCAACACAAGATCAACGATTTCCACTAGCTATTCGATTTCAAGTAGCCGAAATGATTGCAAAAAGTATTGGGGTATTCCATGCTGATGGCTGGGTTCACAAAAGTGTGTGTAGTCGTTCCGTCGTATTTTTCAAACGACGATCAAAGGAAAGTCTTATGCTCAGGTCTCCGTACCTTGTGGATTTTGGTTACTCACGCCCAGAGGAAGGAAAGACTTATGCACGCTATCAACAAACAACTAATAGCGATGCTCTTTACCTTCATCCTGACCGCCCTCGTATGACTTTTACCAAACTTCATGATATATATGCTCTGGGAGTAGTTCTTCTCGAGATTGCAACATGGAAGACCGCTAAGGATCATTTTGACTCTGCGTTAAAGGGTCTCGATCTTGATGTCACGACTATTGATAAAGAAGAGGTTAGAGAAAAATTCCTAAGTATTGCTAAGAAGAGTATCCCTTATCATATGGGAACTGCTTATATGGAAGCTGTCATTTCTTGTTTGGATGATACGTACAGAGGTCATACGGCTTCCTCGACATTTCTGGAGACATTTCAAACCGAGATTATTGAAAAGTTGAGTGCGAAGCAATTATCGTCTCGCTGAGTGATAGTAAATTATCGGAACTAGAGCTTTCATACTTGCCATGGCATGAGTTGATATTCTAAAACCCTGATAGTTTAATAAAAAATTGTCTCGATAAAGATTGGAGATCCATCTATATCTCTATATCAAAGTCACTCCTCATAAAACTTTCGCCCCCGAATATCATGGTAAAGAGTCAGTCATACACATACCGAGTACATCAATCATCATTGTGAGAGTACGAATTTGTGCGGAGTTCGAAAAATTAGCGATTGGATTCCATTTCAAATGGTTATTCACTCTATTAATTACCTAGATCTGAAGTAGAATGCCAAGCTCTCAGATTTAGACTCCTGCACTCTTGACATGTGGACCCTGTTTCCGAAATTCGATCAGGCCAGTTGCTTTGACTAGATACAGATTCTGGGTAATTAAAGATCGGATTAAATTACTCGTGCTACCGGGAAGTATTGAACTCCCCCACTAAGAGATTCGGGTTAGTCCTCTTGTGGTTTACCATGTTTTGGTATGAGTCTCTAGCTAGCTTCGGGGTTGCATACTTTTCGGTCGTACGAGTAAGAACAGGAAGGTAATATTGCGCCATACTTTCGGTACTTAGTATTTGTCAACGCTGGACAAGAAGAAATGTCTTGATATCGCATCTCCCGACATAGTCTAAGGTTTACATAAACCCACCCCTGTTTGATATCGGTTGATTCAACGGCGATCGACATTTTGTGACTGGTTAGTTCAGAACCAGACAACCGCACTGAAGATCTCGGTGCATTGTTTATTGTTTAAAGTGTAAACCATTCTGATCGACGCCACGGTTTTCTTCCTATCTTGGCTATCTGGTATGTGGAGAAGTGGCGGCTCACAATGTTGTGCTCGGCCGTATAGCTCTTTGACATCAACCTAATTTAAGAACAATACTTTGGTACAATTCATCAATTTTTCTCGTATCATATACCCTCAGTCCCCTCGTAATTTTAAAAAAGAGGAAGAAATGGTTCTTATCTCCACCATCCCACTATTCTCTGGTTGAGCGTCAATGAGCTTATGAATTTGAGAAGGCTATTCTTACCTTACAAGGCGGTTTGCTAACATTCGAAACATCCAGCGGAAACATGCACTCTAGCTTAGTGACGGCGCCACAACTTGGACTAGTATTACAATAGCTTCGGGGGTGGCTATAGCTCATTCTTAGGCACTTTGAACTTCCAGTTACTATCAAAGCAGCTAAAAACATTCCGTGAAAAGTCAAGCAACGGGATATCCGACACCAATTATCATTGCAAAAGTCGATATCGGTATCTTTGAACTTTTAGTCAAGTTTCAGAACCTCAATTCGAATTCGAGGATATGGTAGATAGTCTTGCGATTTATCTTGTATAAGTACATGTCAAATCCTCTCGTTGTAATTTGTTTTCCATCATCCATCACAGTATCCTCAGCTCACTTCTTCATTCTCTAAACTTTCCATTCACTTCTTAACAATTTTCAAAAACTCTCGTTGAGTTCATATTCAAACCTTCTTTTCAAATCTTGATAGATCCCTCTCCTTAAAATGCGTTTTACCGATTTCGCCCTGGTGGCATTGACTGCTGCAGGTGCCAACGCCGCTCCTCATCCTCAAAAGATTGACTTCAAGTCCCTCAACCCTGTTGTGCAATCCGTTCAAAGTGTACCAGTCGGTATTACTTCCGAGGTCGTCACATATAATCCTACTGCTGCTACCTCCTCCGCCGCCGCCGCTGTTACCACAAGTTCAGCTGTCAAGGCAACAGCAACCACATTAGCCACAAAACGGGAAGCTGGTCAACTCGAGACCAGAGACGGTGATTGCTCAACCCAACCAGCAACTGTCTATACTGGAACCAATCCAGCAGATGATCCAGATTCTTTTTTAGCTTATCAGCCATTTGCTGATGCAGCCAATAGCGCCGCAACTCCATCTGGCTTTACTAGATCTTTCGTTAACCTTAAAGCATCCAACAATGCTTTGAAGTACATGGGATTCACACAATTGCCTACATACGATACAAATGTCTGCGCTAGCAAGTGTTCCGACATCGCTGGATGCAATGCCTTCAACATTTACTTTGAACGCGACCCATCTGTCGATCCAGGTGCTTCTTGCACAAACCCATCTTCTATGACCAACGTCAAATGTGTCTTCTGGGGTGGTGCAATCGATGCCAAAACTGCAGTCAACGATGGTCAATGGCGCAGCACATTCCGTGTTGTCATTGCAGGATCAAACGGTTACAACGTCAATTCATTCCCAACACCAGCTGGATATAATCCTCCTACATCCCTTGCAGGCGCTTCTATCAATGCTCCATTGGATTGCAACAAGGCTGATACTTACCTCGGATCTCGTTTCTTCACTGATACACCATTCGATGTCAGCCTTTGCACAGCAGCTTGTGATGCCACCACTGCATTCAATGTTGCTCATCCACCTGCAACTGGCAGTGTACAAACTTGTCAATTCATCAATACCTACATCCTTTACTTGAACGGTGTTGCTCAAGGCCAAGCTTGTGCTATGTATACCGACTCATGGGATACCAGTTATGCTGTTAACACTGGTTATACTAGTGGAACCGACGTTTACACTATCGATTCCTCTTACACCTTGTCCAACTCTATCAATCCAAACTACGCAGCAAACTGCAAGGTTGCAGCTAGCTCAAGCTCAAGCGTTGCTAGCAACTCAACTATCGCTCGTCGGGCTGCACACTAAATAGATCTCTGTACTCTTCAGATGTCCACAAGCAGCTGGAGTAGTGGACTGTTCATCAGAGGTCCCATGCACACTGCTGGTTATTTGTCATTTGTTAGGGTTCAGAAATAATTCTCTTTGTATGAATAGTCTGCGGACTATTTGTAGACAATATGTTTATCTTTTGTGATTTTTAAGGGGTGGAAATTGGCGGGATGATTTAATGCATTAATATTTACATGAGCAATAATACTAGAATGTTATCTTTATAAATCTACGCTTGAATTGTTTGCAAACCCCGGAAGTGATTTCCGCTAGTGAATGCTTCAAAGTTAAATTAATTTACCTAAGGTTTTTGGATAATCTTGTTGTCAAGATTGCTAGGATATCTCAATAATATGACTTCGAATTCTATATTTTCAAAGAAAATCTTGCATGCATAGCCCCATGAAAACTTCTCTACAACCGGTTGTGAATATTGCCTGGCAGGCGAAGGTGATATCGGGTCGTACGTAATCTACCCCTAATCTTTGCGAGCTTGCAAATTGTCTATCGAATATACTTAGATCTCGGGTTTATTATTTCCTGAATCATTAGATATGTATGAGCATTCTAGGCTTTTTGGCGTTGAATTGTGTTGTTCTCCGCATCTGCGTAGGATATGCAAGTGCAAGATGAGAGGCGCGCTAGATCAGCAGGATTTTCTGGATATTGGCCGATTCGAAGGAATAACGTGCCATGGATGAAAGATAATAATGGAGTCTTTCTTTGTACACATAGAGACATTTCTTTCTATTGAATTCCACCGAATCAATATTTCTGATTAGCAGGCCTTCAAGTTAGGGTAAGATACCCCAATCCCAATGGCCCCCAGAACCCACATTTAGCCAACATATTGATGGTTCGCCGCCCATCATTTTTCGAATCTACACATCTCATAAAGCTCAATGCGAATATGTAGCAGCTCGGAAGAGAATAAGCCACAAGAAGATGCAAGTCACCTCACAAGCCTCTATCTCACATTTTGCTCAAAGAAATGCAAATAGAAGATGAAGGTTACCCCTCAAACTTCCAAACCACAGAACACTTTGCGCCAAACCACCAAAAGATGAAAGTTTCCTCTCAAGCTTTTACACATCCCGATTAGCCATGTGAATGGAAGTTAAGTCAAAGAGAATGAGAGTTTCCTTTCAGTTCTCTATACCATTCATAAGAATGATCCACAAGAAGATGCGAGTTGCCCCACAAGCCCCTTAACCACAAATAAATCGAGTAAGCCACAAGAAGATGTGAATTGCCTCACAAGCCTCTAAACCACAGAGTTTTCAACGTGCCGTTTGTAAAAAAAAAACCCCGAAAGGGAAAAAAACACAAGAAGATGCGAGTTTCCCCACAAGCTTCTAAACCATGAATGTGATGATGTAACACAAGACGATGCAAGTTGCCTCACAATCATCCAAACCACAATTCCCATGCGAATAGAGTCAAAGTCCCACAATTCCAAGTCCCATAAGCCGAATATAATATGTCAAATACCACAAGTCAACGTGCCCACATGTTCTCAGACAAGACCATCGATCTCATCTGGCCAAAAGAACAAAAGATTCCTCATGCCTGTGCTACTCCCAGGGTAAACCGCTTTCGAAGAGCAATGGGTCACGAGAGCAATCAAGGTACAAGCAGCATTAGAGCTGAAGATAGCCAATATCCCCACTGTGCCCTGTATAATTTTAGCAAGTGACTCAGAAGAAAGTGAGAGAATGAATAAGAAAATGAAAGGATGGAATGGGAATACTTAGCTTTGGAATGATATGGTGAGGAAAAGGGAAGAGAAAGAAAGGAAAAACGCTGGGGGACGAAGGTGTTTAAATGAATTCTATAGCTAGTGCTGAAGATCTATCCATAAACTAAAATTGATTAGCCTCAATTATTCGTAATAGTCGTTATTTATCCGATATTATCGATGACTTCATTCAAGTTTTTTTTTCTTTAGTAGTTTGGCACTAAGAAGGTTTATGTTGTTAGTAAATGCGAAAGTTAAATTCGCTACTGCGGCTACTAATTATTGTTACCGCAGCCGGAACGATAACAACTGTTCATAATAGACCGTAACACTTTAATACATCCGACCATATAATTGGCTGTATGAAAATCATCAATATCTGATTTTGTATTAAAAGCAGAAACCCAACATTGAGCATAGATTTTTCGTCCAGGAAAATCATGATTAGCCCCTGCATCTCGGCACAGATTTCGGCAAGGACTTCGATTCCCATCGTGAGATGAACTCTGGTGATGAAAGATCTGACTGTGTTGATTATTGTTCTTGATTATTAGACAGAACTTTCAGACGGATTGGATGATATGGGACTGACATTTGAAGTCTACCTTGATTGGAATTGTACACTAAGCCTTTGGATGATGATGCATGAGTTTACTTAAATCATGCTCTGGCAGCGTCAACCACTTGTCTCCTGGAATTTCGCAATTTCTGATCAAACTTCCGTTTCTCATATTCTTATTATCATGATCATGATGTTAGGGCGCTTAACGTCAGTTGTTTTTCATTTTGGAAGTACGGAAATCAAGTTGGAAGTACGAGGTATCGATGAGACGAAAATAACACGGTGTTAGATATCCAAGTAGGTATCTAGTGACATGATTTGAGAAGAGGACATGAGAGGATTATGTTTTATTTTTGTACATAGGTAGTTATTCGAAGCATGAATTTGCCTCTCTTTCAATATCATAGACCCTTGGTCGGGAACATGTGACGGTCATGATTCTCAGGACGCTTCTGATGGAGAATGAGAACGTATCTCTAAACACTAACACCTCACCCGCCCCCCCCCTCCCACCCATTTCAGGACATATCAAGGGTGTCTGTTGACGATTTACTTGATCAGCAAATATCGGAACAGCAGAATAAGGTGGGATACATGACCTCTATCTACGGTGTGGCGCGAATATAAATTTTTTCAATATCAAGCCATCGTGGGTAGTGATGTAACAGGAGTATGAATGCTCTTGAGTACCATCCATTAAGGCCGATTAATCTACTATAACCGTTGTTAGAGAATTCATCCTAAAAAGGGAGAACGATGAGAGTATTGGCCTTCGTATTTCTGTCAAAAAGAAAAATAATCTTTTTTATTGGGCTTTAAACATCACTTGATGTGCTTCTCCCATGAGCTCCACGGAATTCCGAGGAGGATCTCCAAATGGAGGTATCTCAAGCAAGCCAACTCCCGCTGTAGGATGATATCCTAGAATCCCAAATGAACCTTTTTTCTTTTTTTTTTTTTTTTTTTTTTTCCTTAAATGTCAAACGCTGAAGTCATCGTGAGATGACAGAAAAAGCCGACGCCCACATAAGCCAACTCCCACCATTCGAAAGCCCACAAAGTCAACGCCCGCATATCGCTGAAGTCATCTTTAGATGACAGAAAAAGTAAAAAGCCCACACAAAGCCAACGCCCGCGAAAAAGAAAAGAGAATAAACCCACAAAGCCAACTCCCGCAAAAAAAGACTAAGCCCACAGATTCAACGCCCACAAAGTCAACGCCCACAGAGCCAACACCCACAAAGCCAACGCCCACAGAGCCAACGCCCACACGAAGCCAACTCCCCACATTAAACGCACAAAAGGTCGATTCCATAAACTTCCAATAGGAATCGCGCCTTCGCGCGTTTATACTCGTCACCCCACATATAGCGGACGTCCAGCTCTGGAAAGAAGAGGAGTCCGCGGCGGACCAAAGATTTTGGATCCGGTGCATTCGAAAATGGTGGTTCGCCGCTGCAACGACCACTCTGCCCTTCCACGGAGGCCACCGAAGCGTCCTCCAAAGAGCCAAAGACCACTGGAACAACACGCTGGCAACTTTTAGAAAAGATTGCCTGCCTCAATCCGGGTCTAAGGATTCCCGGTACTCCCCCACGGGACGATACCGAGTGCCGGCTGACTGCCCGCCCAGCCGGTCTTACAGAGGCTGTGGCGCGAATCCACTCCTCGATTGGTGCAGGATCACTCCACTTGATCACCTGCGTAGGGGCCTCCAAAAGAGAAGCCTCTTCGGCGTGTTCCAGCCTTGCCCGGGCCGCCACGTCATTGATCAACCAGTTGATGTAGCGTGTTACCGCCAATCTTCTGGTAGAAAAGTAATCGGAGACGAACTCCGGACGCCAGACTTTTTCATCCGCAACGCAGAACGATGGGATGCAGAGCTCCACAGCTCTGGTCGAGGGGCCATAGTGACAAAAGCCCGGTTGGAGGAAAGCCATCTTTTCTCCTTGTCTCAGTGTGTATTGAGACGAATTATTGAAAATGGTGGGTAGACCGAAATACCCGAGTGTTAAAACAGGCAAATTTGAGATGATTTGTGATTTAAAGAAGCAAGAACTGTATCTTTCTGTGTGTATACTCTAATTTGTGATCTGTTTTGACGATGAAGAGAAAAAAGGAAACAAGAAATGGGGGCGGGGGAGGTAATCCTATATACAGCGCGGTAGAAACTTTCCCCCACAAGTAGTCCTCATTCTATAGCTACTATTTTTTCAATTACGACATGATAATCGAGCTATTCAATATACCACTGGGCCACTGAGCCCTACAATACACTAGTATTGAATGGAAGATCTTTTGCTAATCAGAACTATATCTTAGTGTATAGTGGATCGCTCCGCCTGTCATACCTAACAGGGAAAGAGCTAGATGTCTATTGTCTAGATTAGAAATAACACTTACAAGACTGTGATTTGCTGAGTTTGTTTTGATGATTTGAAACGACTTAAGGTTTCAACCTAATTCAATGTGCCAAGTGATTTGGTTATTTTATATATATTCCGTACTCCAAATACTTTAAGTGTATGAAGTAGAGATAACCAATCAGAGGGCCTAAGTAACTGAAGATTTTTAATTGTATAAGTGATAACGAGTGTCTCAATTGGCCATAAAGTACCACATCCATTCAGTATCTTAGTTAATCTCAAAGTACCATGCAGATCTAATATCTCAAGA